TACATTTTTCAACATTTTATTTAATTCGAATATTAATCAATAATATCTTCAATGTGATTTCCACCATTTGTGATGCAAAGTTCAATGCACTTTGCAAGATTCAGATAAATCCTATGCAGTAGCTCCATATTTTCATCAATTTGAGTACATCCATTCATAATGCGTTCCTTCAGGTGATTCATATCTCTGATTTTCATTGAGTACACCTTCTCCTTTAGTATACCCAAAAAAAAGAAATCAAGGGGGTTAAGGTCTGGTGAGCTTATATAGTGATATATTATACACATACTCATACATATATTGATATACACATATATTCATTGTCATCCACCACTTTCTTTTTAACCACTTGAGCACCTGAGGATTTACCCCCCTTAATGACCAGGCCTCTTTTTGCTACTCGGCGCTGCACTAATTCAACTGATAATTGCGCGGTCATGCAATGCTGCACCCAAACAAAATTTATGTCCTTTTTTTCACACAAATAGAGCTTTCTTTCGGTGTAATTTGATCACCTGTGCGCTTTTTATTTTTCACGCTATAAACAAAAAAAGGCCAAAAATTTTGAAGAAAAACAATATTTTTTACTTTCAGCTATAAAAAATATATAGTAAACTCAAAGTTGGTTATAAATTTAGGCCAAAATGTATTCTGCTCCATGTTTTTGGTAAAAAAAATTCCAATAAGTGTATATTGATTGCTTTGTGTGAAAGTTATAGCGTCTACAAACTATGGTATAAATACTGCAATTTACGCCATTTTTCTGCTATACAGCGCTGCGCTAGTTTAACGGACAATTGCGCGGTCATGCAATACGGTACATAAATGAAATTTACATCCTTTTTTTCCCCACAAATTGAGATTTCTTTCGGTGGTATTTGATCGCCTGTGCGGTTTTTATTTTTTGCGCTATAAAAAAAAGGCTGACAATTTTGAGGAAAAAAAAAAAAAACAATATTTTGGACTTTTTGCTATAAAACATGTCCAGTAAAAAAAAAATGCAAAAAATCAAATTTAGTCATAAATTTCTGCCAAAATGCATTCTGCGACATGTCTTTGCTAAAAAAAATCCCAATACGTGTAAATTAATTGGTTTACGTGAAAGTTATAGCGCTTACAAATGGCGGGAAAGATACTGGAATTTTAAATTTTTATTTATACTAATAATGGCGCCGATCAGCGACATTTGGCGTCAATCAGCGACATATGGCGGCGACCAGCGACTTATGGCAGGACTGCGGGACAGTGGCGGACATTTTGACACTGGGGGGGGGAACTGACTTGGGGTCACTGACATCCCAGTGACACCAATACAGTGATCAGTGAAAAAAACCACTGAAACTGTACTAATATCACTGGGGAGGAAGGGGTTAACATTTTTAGAATTTGCTGTGTAAGGGGAGTGTTTTACTAGGGGGCGGGGGTGTGTACTGGATGGGGGGGAGGGAGGGGGGGAGCTGATCAAGGGAGAGAAACTCTGCAGCTTCTCACAAGCTGTCAGAGAACTGACACAGAACAGGGGCTGTGTGTAAACAATGCAGCCCTGCTCTGTGTTAGCAATCACCGGCAATCGCGGAAAACGGCCGGTAAAAACCGACCGTGACCCGTCGGCTGACACCTGCTGCTGACACCCGTGGGACAGGTAGGGTGGGCGCGCGCGCCCGCTGCCTGTTTTGAAGGCAGCTGTTTTAAAACGTGCTTTTGCCTACGAGCGCCGCCCTGCCACCGTTTATATGCGGTGGCTGGGCGGCAAGTGGTTAAGGGCCTAAAAGTGCTCCTTTGATCCTGGTATGATGACAACACACGCCAATAACAAAGAGAACTCTAGATACAGTATCTTAGGTTTAAATAAGAAGTTCCATCTGAATACTTCCTAAAGAAGTTCTAATTATTGGCACATAATCTGGAAAACCTGATGCTAATTTTATTTATTTGAAGTGGTGGTAAATGTTGGTGTGCATTTACCTTTTCCATGTGACTAACCAGTAATGTCGTTAATTTGGATTATGTAAATGAATACATGTCACATGACACTTTATGTGTCACTTGTCCAAGTATATTTATTTATTTCAGATACTTGTATAGTGCCGTCAATTTACGCAGCACTTTACATATATATGATAGGGATAGCCTATGGAGCGGTAGAATAGCGAGGAGGGAGTTGCAATAGTCAAGGCAAGAAATAACAAGGGAGTGAACTAGTAGCTTGGTGGTATTATTAAAAATGGGGCCAATTTTAGAAATGTCGAGGTGACATCTACAAGCTTTTGACAATGATTGGATTTGGGGTGGAAAGGAGAGGTCAGAGTCTAGGATTATACCTAGTACCATGGCGTGAGGTAAGGGACTGATAGTTGCATTATTGATCTTGATGGAAAAGTCACGAAGGAAGGCATGAGTGGGGGGAATATTGCCAGCTCAGTTTTAGAAAGATTTATCATTTATTGCAGATACTTATATAACGCTGTCAATTTACACAGTCCTTTACATATGTTGTACATTCACATCAATCCCTAATCCTCTAACAATCTAAGGTCCCTAACTCACATCCATACACACGCATACTAGGGCCAATTGAAACAGGAGCCAATTAACCTACCAGCATGTCTTTGGAGTGTGGGAGGAAACTGGAGAACCCAGAAGAAACCCACACAGGCACAGGGAGAACATGCAAACCCCAGGCAGGTGGTGCATTGGCTGGTATTCGAATCAACAACCGTGGTTTTGCTAGGCGGAAGTGCTAACCATTTAGCCACTGTGCTGCCTTGTAAGCACTGTTTGAGTGAAGCTCTAATATCTGCCTGTTATAAATTGTTGGAAAAGCCAACAATTTCTGTAGGGTTTACTTAATTTTTCACATCACTGTAAGCTTTATATACACATGATCACAATATATAATTCCAGGTTAGGACCAGGAAAACAATGCAATGTTCTTTGTAGCAGTAGCAAAGGGGATTTTCTTAAAACATCAAAACTTGTCTACCTACAGGCTCCAGTAAAGGAAATCAAGCACTACCCGACAATAAAGAATTTACTGGACATGTTTTATAGCAAAAAGTCCAAAATATTGTTTTTTTTTTTTCCCTCAAAATTGTCAGCCTTTTTTTTTATAGCGCAAAAAATAAAAACCGCACAGGCGATCAAATACCACCGAAAGAAAGCTCAATTTGTGGGGAAAAAAAAGATGTAAATTTCATTTATGTACCGTATTGCATGACCGCGCAATTGTCCGTTAAACTAGCACAGCGCTGTATAGCAGAAAAATGGCGTAAATTGCAGTATTTATACCATAGATTGTAGACGCTATAACTTTCACACAAAGCAATCAATATACACTTATTGGGATTTTTTTTACCAAAAACATGGAGCAGAATACATTTTGGCCAAAATTTATAACCAACTTTGAGTTTACTATATATTTTTTATAGCAGAAAGTAAAAAAAATATTGTTTTTCTTCAAAATTTTTGGACTTTTTTTGTTTATAGCGTGAAAAATAAAAAGCGCACAGGTGATCAAATTACACCAAAAGAAAGCTCTATTTGTGTGAAAAAAAGGACGTAAATTTCGTTTGGGTGCAGCATTGCATGACCGCGCAATTATCAGTTGAATTAGTGCAGCGCCGAGTAGCAAAAAGAGGCCTGGTCATTAAGGGGGGTAAATCCTCAGGAGCTCAAGTGGTTAAAATACTTTTTTTTTTGTTTGAGTCAAAATATTAGTTCTTATCAACAAATGGATCTAGCTTTTTGCCAATTATTTCATGAAATGGCTTAGTTACAGCCACTGAAGTGTACGGACTTTAAAAACAAAAAATTGATTCTTTTGGCGTTCCGTAATCTTATGGTCCTCAAAGGGCTAAAGGCCAAGGTCTTTAAACTCTTATTTTGCAGAAAAGGAAGCATTGAAATACAACCAGTACAGCAATCCAGAAAGCACTTGAGCTAGGCTGCTTCATTTAGTTTTAATACTCATGGGTTTGAAAACACTTTCAGAGTAAGTGCACTTACGCTTTAAACACAACGGGTGATCTTTTCACAATGATTTATTCAATCCTAGTATTCAAAAATAAATACCATTATTTAGGGGTTGCACATACCATCTGTGATACATTTATTTATATGGACCTCGCCATCAGACCTTTAAAAGGGACAATTGTGGAGGAAATGAGCTCTGCCATACCTCTATGACATATTATACTGTGCTTTATGGGACACATAAACCATTCACATCACTGCCACTGAAGATCATTTATTCCCAACTGCATGTTATGGGCTTAAAGGAGAAGTACAAGCAAAGCTCATGTGGCTGTACTTCTGTGAATCACAGAAGTGCATTTTGTTCTGCACTCCTGTGACCCGTTTTCAGCTGACAGTGGGTTAAAGTCAGCTGTTGACCAGGGGCGGACTGACCATTTGGAAACTCGGGTACTGCCCGAGGGCCCGGGGTCAGTAGGGGGCCCCATGAGATGCCCCTGGTACCTTTTTCATAGGCTTTTTTGAGTTTGGACAAGGACACAGGGGCCCCATGATCCCCTATTACCCGGGGGCCCCATGAGTTGTCAGTCCGCCCATGCTGTTGGCTGACTACACCCGTCTGGTACAGGCTGGGGAAAACTCCTGACTTTGAAGTTGGGATCCACGCAGGTCCCTGGACCGGCAGTTGGCTCAACCTCTCAACAATACGCCCCTCTACAGCCCAGCATTCCAGTGAGCACTGGGGGGGGGGGGGGGGAGAGCAGAAGATGGTGATGATGGTGCTCAGAGTAGCAGAGAGAACTAACCGATCAGCAGTGTCTGATCACTAGGGTTGCCACCTCATTTCTTTAAAACCGAAGACATATTAATTACACAGGTTCTGTGGCTGATTAACCGCCTCCCGCCCACCATATAAGGTAATGATGGGTGCAAGGTGGTTCTCTCATTCTGGGAGGACGTCATATGACGTCCTCCATCTCTAACCGCGCATCCGCGCCCCTGGGGGCGCGCAGTGTGCTGATCAGTGGTGTGCTGTGTCCCTGGGACACAGAGGATCACCAATCAACGGAAAGAGCCGATGACGTCGGCTCTGTCATGTGATCAGCTGTGTCCAATCACAGCTGATCATATGTAAATAAGGAAATGCCGGTTATTGGCATTCCTCTCCTCACGAGCTGTCACGCTGACATCACGTTAGGAGAGGAGAGCCAGTAATCGGCATTACTCAGAGGGGACATGTACACTGATCATCAGGGCACTGATGATCAGTGTGCCCTGATGATCTGTGTAGCCCCATCAGTGCCACCTGTCAGTGTCCATCAATGCCACCTATCAGTGCCCATCAATGCCACCTGCCAGTGCCCATCAGTGCCACATCAGTGCCACATATCAGTGCCTACCAGTGTACATCAATGCCACATATCAGTGCCCATCTGAGCTGCCTTTCAGTGCCACCTATCAGTGCCAGTCAGTGCCACCTATCAGTGCCAGTCAGTGCCACCTATCAGTGCCACCTAACAGTGCCACCTAACAGTGCCTCCTCATCAGTGCCGCTTATCAGTGCCCATCAGTGCAGCCTATCAGTGCCCATCACTGCAGCCTCATTATCGCACATCAGTGAAGGAGAAAAATAACTTATTTACAAAATTTTATAACAGAAACTAAGATAATACTTTTTTTTTTTCAAAATTTTCAGTTGTTTTTTGTTTGTTTAGTAAAAAATAAAAAACCCAGAGGTGATTAAATACCACCAAAAGAAAGCTCTATCTGTCTAAAAAAAATGATAAAAATTTCATATGAGTACAATGATGCATGACTGCGCAATTGTCATTCAAACTGCGACAGCTCTGAAAGCTGAAAATTGGCCTGGGCAGGAACAAGGTATAAGTGCCCCGTAGGTAAGTTGATGTTGTAAGTAAACTCACTTGATGCCTTATCTGCATTAAATTAGCCTCAGAAGCTGTGTAACTCATATGTTTTCGGTTTAAAGGGATGAGATGGCAACCCTACTGATCGCTCAGTTCTCAGCCTTAGAGTCGGCGGGGGAAAGATCTGATGGTGCATCCACTGCATCCACCTCGGTAAGTTTAATTTACAAAAAAATTCCCAATTTCTCTTTTAAGTTCAACATCAGTGAACCCACTTCCTGTGAGCTCAGGCTGTCATGGACATGCCCACTGGGGGTGCACCATCACACTGACCGTGGCTCACAGGAGAATGTTCCAGAGACTGTTGTTCACATCTCGCTTTGTCGGCCCCATTTTCTGCAGCACCGAGGACTGCCCACTATCAATGATAGAGAAGAAGAGGAAGGACTTGCCGCTAATCACGTGATTTGCCAGAAGACAATTGGAATTTAAGTATGCATTTTAAAAATGTTGTATTGACAATTTACACTTCTAAATTCTGATGTGTTACATGCATTAGTGCGTTATAGTGCCACACATTTTTAAGGGCACCCTAAGCACTAATTCCAAGGATCTCTGGTGCACATGTATTGCAGAACATTGTAATGTACTTTAAGGCATTGTGTTGTAATGTGTAATGGATATAAAAGCCGCAAGCCCATTTTGGTGCAGTGACAACTCGTTTATTTGAATAGACTGCCCTAATGCAACACAGTTTTGTGTCTGACCATGCCGGCTTTTCGCGCATGCGCAGTAGCGTGTGTGCGTGACTCCACCCTACACGTTTCGTCACAGGAAATGTCATCAGGATGTAAAGTAGTTAAAGCAAAAGTCTGGGCAAAACATTTTTTGGACCATGCTGTGGGGCTGTGCCTGCACTGCATAGGCCAGCTACTCGTTTTTGTCTAAGGGCCATAAGAGTGAAGATATACTTACCAAATTCACTGATCTTCGGAGCGCAAGATCAGTCTCTACCACTTCTTCTTCCCCCCTGAATGCTAGCGGTCTTGTGATGGACTGTTCCTGACATCATCATGCTCATAGACCAGCTCTGGGCCTGAGGACGGCAGGAACAGTCTACCGCTGGGGGAGCGTGGTTTTCTGGAGGATCAGAGGACAGGGTAAGTATAGCTCTTCCCTAAACCCCTGGACAAAACGAGCAGTTTTTACATGCAGTGCAGGCACAGCCTCACTGCATGGGAAAATAAAAGTTTTACATGGAGGTCTGCTTTAAGCTGTTGGGCCAGTATGAAAGCAAGTTAACCTCTTGTCACTCATGCAATGCATATGTACAGAAGCAAAAAGGGTGAGCTTTAAAAGAGAAATATTGTTTTTTTTTAAAAAAACACTGATGCTCTGCGGGATTCAAAATCGCATCACAATTGCACTCCGGTCATTCTACTACTGCAGGTGTCAATGATAAGTTAATGACACCCCAAACAGCTGCAAAATGTAGTGTGATTGACTTAATTCCAGTGCGGTAAAAAAAGGTGCATGCATCTTTTTCATGTAGGTGTGGTGCGATTTGAGCCATACAAAATGAATTGCCTCAAAGGGCACTGCAAAGATCGCATGTGATTTGAACAGGAATGTGGTGCGATTCCTGTCCGAATCACATGTGGTTCCCAACACCGCATCAGTGTAAACCTAGACTTCAGTCAGTGCTAGTCAGGTGCTAGTCAGGATTCCCACTAAAATGCCCTCTCCTCTTATCTGGCCCAGGGGGTGTGGGATTACTCACTCAGTCTTCTCCTGCAAACTTGTGGGTTGGTAGCTGCATTCAGGCCTTATGCCTGGCTGGCTTCTTCCCAGGCTGTCCTCTCTCAGGGGACAATGAGGCTGAGTGATCCTCCCTTCCAGCTCCTCTGCCTGTAGGTAGGCCCCTCAACTGGACCCACTCCCAGGCTTCACACTCCATCCTGCTCACTCCATCTTCCACCCGAACTCTCCTGCTACTGAGCAGGCTCAGTCACTTTTAAGGGCTGTCCTGACCCCATTCCAAGCTTCCTGCTTGAGGATTGGCCAGGATCCTTTAAGAGTGCAGACCAGCTCCTCCTCATCGTTGAGTTCAAGAGACTTCTCCAAGTCTCTAGATCAGAGGGAGGTATCAGGGAACTGTCTGCAGAGCCACTCAGCCCTGACCCAAATCTGAACACTCTGACTATCTTTCCTGGCTACTACTCCTCTTGCTAAAAAAAATAATTGGCTAGCTCCCCCTGGCTAACTAGGAGGGCACAATTTGTATATAATGTTCCTAGGAGAATATATGGTTTAAAGAAACATTCAGATTGTTGGGCTGCTTGGGAAATCATGGCATCTGAAAATTCAATTAAAATAGAATAACGTGTAAATTACATAAGCAACATTCAAATTATAAACATATGTTGTTTTAAGCAAAAGTGAAGTTTTCTTTTAAATCTTTTTCTCTCTCTATAAGAGATTTGTCCAGTGCCTATAACAATTTTGTGGTATAAAAAAATATCCATGTAGAAACCATGCAAGATGATCCAGTGTAGTTAAACAATGCCACTTTTAACTTGTAATTCAAGACATATTATGAATAAAATATTTTGGACGCTTGCTGACCCGTAACAAACTGCTTTGCAGTTTGGAAAACTACCACTAGAGGACAGCATGTCATAAGGAAAAAAAAGAGATTCATGGTCCTTAAATGCGGAGTTCATGGCTATGGCTTTATTTCACAGGGTGACTGACATGACAACTTTCATTTCATCATAATATGCGCTTCACACAGAATTTCATGTGATTCCTTTAATTGCTATAATTACTAATAGCTATTTAACATCATTAAAGAGGTCATTTGTAAGAAATTAGAATGCTATTTAGTTGTTGCTTCTGCATTTCCTAAAGGAAACCTCGGCTGACAAAATATTGTTGTTACTGACCTTTCCTTCTTCAAATGGCAGTTGTCCGGTTGTCTTTCCTAACCACTTGCCCTCCTGACGATTTAACCCCCTTCCTGACCAGGCCATTTTTTGCATTACAGAGCTGCGTTACTTTAACTGACAATTGCGCGGGTCATGCAACGCTGCACCCAAATCAAATTTATGTCCTTTTTCCCTACGAATTGAGCTTTCTTTCAGTGGTATTTGATCGCCTGTGCGTTTTTTTATTTTTTGTGCTATAAGCAAAAAAAGACCGACAATTTTGAGAAAAAACTATATTTTGGACTTTTTGCAATTAAACATGTCCAGTAAAAAAATTAAAAAAAATCTAATTTAGTCATAAATCTCGGCCAAAATGTATTCTGCGACATGTCTTTGCTAAAAAAAAAGTCCCAATATGTGTAAAATAATTGGTTTACGTGAAAGTTATAGCGTTTACAAATGGCGGTATAGGTAATGGGATTTTTTTTTCTACTAGTAATGGCGGCAATCAGCAACTTATAGCAGAACTGCGGGACTGCGGCAGGCATTCTGACACTGGGGGGAACAAACGTGGTGTCACTGACACCCCAGTGATATCAATACGGTGATCAGTGCTAAAAAAAAGCACTGACACTGTACTAATGGCACTGGGCAGGAAGGGGTTAATGTGAGGGGCGATCAAAGGGTTAACTATGTGCTGTGTGTGGTTTACTAGGGGGCGGGGGTGTGTTCTTCACTGTAAGCACACTGATCGAGATGGCTGTATTGTGCACAGCCATCCCGAGCAGTGTGCTCGAACTGACAGGGAGGAAGATTGTTTATAAACAGAACAATCTTGCTCCCCGTCGGTGATTGTCGGTAATCACCAGGCGCCAGCGGGTAATTACCGGCTGGAACCCGGTGATTGAAATCTGCAGCCGCGAATGGCAGTGCGGGTAGGGCGTACACGCGGCTCGTGCACGCCTACTACTCGGAAATGCAAAATGATGTATATATACGTGATTCTGTGCACAGGTGCCATCCTGTAGCGGTATATCTGCTATAGGGCGTTCCATAAGAGGTTAAACAGTGTCCAACAGATGCGATATTTTATGAATAGCTGACACACAACTATGCATCTGGTGTTTCTGACTTCACTGGGTGCATACTTGTTCTTGGTTGATGACCAAATCTGGAGATAGTAAGACAACAATCATGTTTAGAAGCATAACTACAACGATAGCGACAGTATTGCTCTGATGACATGATTTCAGATTGCTTCAAAATAAGCAGTGTGGCAAGGCAGTGGGGAAAGCAAATTTAAGTCTGGAGTGCCTCACTAGAAGGATCACCGGTAGGAGGAAGGAGGTCCTGATTCCCCTATGTAGATCATTAGTTATAACTAGAGGGATCATCGGTAGGTGGAAGGAGGTCCTGATTCCCCTATGTAGATCTTTAGTTATAACTAGAAGGATCACCGGTAGGAAGAAGGAGGTCCTGATTCTCCTATGTAGATATTTGGTTATAACTAGAGGGATCACCGGTAGGAGGAAGGAGATCCTGATTGCCTTATATAGATCTTTAAATATAACTAGAAGGATCACCGGTAGGAGGAAGGGGTCCTGATTCCCCTATGTAGATCTTTAGTTATAACTAGAAGGATCACCGGTATTAGGAAGGAGGTCCTGATTCCCCTATGTAGATCTTTGGTTATAACTAGAAGGATCACCGGTAGGAGGAAGGAGGTCCTGATTCCCCTATGTAGATGATTAGTTATAACTAGAAGGA